AAAAATACAATTCCCATGATTCCCTAGCACTAACCATAACCCTTAAAGTGGACTCAATTTGCATTATTTCTGGCAGTCTGCATATCCCTGGCTTGCCATGTTGTACCAGCCAAGCCATAAGGTACTTGAGATAAAATGATGACACCTAAAACTGTGATAAAATTATAAAATTATGACACAGCTAAATTTTCAAATAGTAGCTCAGATAATTGAAAGTTAGAGAAAAATTTTCACTTACTTCATCCACAAGCACTTTCCCCAGTGAATTTTTGGCACGTGGCCTGTTCATCAGAATTTCTGCAATACCTGCATTCCAAACAATCAAACAAACAAACAAACAAACAAATATTTTCAATATGTGGCCTCACATGTCATGTGTGCCTTTTCTTAAAGATCGCTAGGCCAGTGAGCAAGGAAACTCACAAACCTAAACTTCAAAAACCAACTCCAGGGTTCAGTTAAAAATCGTCACAATTGTTGGGTGAGGAAAAAACAGTAAAATCAGCAATGGAAGCAGAAAAGTTAGTATGAGGTCTAAGTACTGCAAAATGTTTATATTATAAACAAGCTCAATAATGTACATCTCATACAGTTGGCCCTCCACGTTTGCAGCTTTGACTTTTACGGATTTGATTCTTTGCAGTTTTGATGAATATGTTCTCTCTAATGATCTCTAATGCAATTCGGCTGGAAGTTAACTATAGAGTTGTGCTGGAGAACCTAGATGTTCCTAGAGAAAACACTTGTATAGCCATTTGTAGGTCCTCCAACATGATTCTATAATCAATTTCTGGCAAATGTTGACCATAGAGTTGCACTGGAGGACCTGGAGATTACTAGAGAGGTGTTCTCATAGGTAAAAAGAATAGTATGTGTTGTTTTAATCTGTGGATTTGCTGTTCATGGAGGTCCTTCACCCCTATCCCCAGTGAATGTGGAAGAACCACTGTATTGGTGCTACTTAGAGCATGTTGCTGGGGTTTGGCAGCTGAACAAATACCTCTCCATTCTAGGGCTGCATCTACACTGCAGAATTGATGCAGTTTGATACTGCTTTAACTGCTGTCACTTACTGCTATGACATTCTGGGATTTATAGTTTTGTGAGATTTTCTCTATCAGCCTTCTCTATTAAATCTAAAGATCTGTATGTGTTAACCTGTATGTAAAGATTGTAAAGATCTTTACGTGTTAACCTGTCCCTTTAATTTAGATATTTATTTTTCTCTATCAGCCTTCACTATTAAATGTATAGAAGCTGTTTCCATTTTTTCAGCCTGTCAACCCCAATGAGGGGAAAAAAACCACATGTTTTGAGACTTGCTCATACTACATGATAGAAATTTCACTGGGATCCTAGAAATGGTGCGCTGAAAGCTGACCAGGAAATAGATGATAGCTTTTTCCGGGTCCTTCTGGTAAGCATTGCTGGGGACAAAGCCTGGCGGGGGACAGAAACTTGTTATACTGCTATATTTTGCAATTCTGTACAACATTACTAAGTATGAAGCTGCATGACTGCTGGGAAGCCAGTTTGAGACAATTCCCTCCAGGCCTCCTGTAAAACAAGGGTTCATATATTTTAGTTCACATCTGTACCACCAACTCTTGCTCTGCCTCTGCCATATTGTGCGTGTATGTGCCTTCAAGCCACCTGTCAACTTATGGTGACTCATGAATTTCATAAGGTTTTCTTAGGCAAGGAAACCTCAGAGATAGTTTTGCCAGATCCTTCCTCTCCTGGCTGCCACGTTACCTACTAGAATTCTTGGTATTTAGTTCAAAGTTGTCATTAAGAAGAAGAAACCTGCATAACAGAGTAA